AAGTTCTTCTTGGAGTTAATTTCTAGTTTTATTCTACTGTGGTCTAAGAAGATGGTTTATATGATTTTGACTTTTTGAATGTATTAAGACTTAATTTGTGGCCCATCATATAGTCTGTCTTGGAGAATGTTCCATGTGCTAATGAGAAAAATGTATATTCTGTAGCTTGTAGATGGAATGTTCTATAGATGTCTGTTAGTACCATTTCTTCTAGAGTTCTGTCCAACTCCAATGTTTTTTTTTTTTGTTGGCTTGCTGCTTTGATGGTTTGTCTGTTGCTGTCAGTGGAGTGTCAAAGTCACCCACTGTCTAGTAGAATTTGTTTTATAAAGCAGGGGCTCTGGTGTTAGGTGCATATATATTTGAAATTGTTATGTCTTCTTGTTGGATTGATCCCTTTATCATTCTATAATAGTCATTTTTGTCTTTTTTACTGTTTTAAATTTATAATCTGTTTTATCTGATATGAGAATGGTTACTTCTGCTTGTTTTTGGTTTTTATTTGCATAGAATATTTTTTCCCACCCCTTTTTACCTTGAGTCTATAGGAGTCCTTGTGAGTTAAGTGGGTCTCTTGAAGGCATCATATATATTATATATTCATTCTGCCAGTCTATATCTTTTCAGTGGGGCCTTGAAACCATTTACATTCAGAGTTAATAATTATATGTAAGTTACTATTCCATTCATCATACTAATTGTTATCTGATAATTTTATTTATTTATTTATTTATTTTATTGTGTTGGTGTTTCATAAAGGTTGTGAACTTTATTATTTTCATCATTTTTCTCCTAGTGTGCTTCAACCTTCTTGATTCAGTATTTAGAACTCTTTTGAGTATTTCTTGTAGACCTGGTCTAGTGGTGACAAATTCTCTCAGTGTTTGCTCATCTGCAAAGCTCTTCATTTCTCCTTCATTTATGAAGCTTAGTTTTGCAGGATAAAAAGTCCTGGATGACAGTTATTCTGTTTAAGGAGATTGAAGATGGTGTCCCAATCCCTTCTGGCTTGTAGGGTTTCTTTTGAGATGTCTGTTGTTAGTTTAATAGGCTTACCTTTGTAAGTTATTTGATGCTTTTGCCTCACTGCTCTTAAAAATATTTCCTTCATATTAACTTTGCATAACCAGATGATTCCATTTCTGGGGGATGACCTTTTTGCAATGAAACTACTGGAGGTTCTTTAGGCTTCTTCTATCTGGGTGTTTCAATCTCTGACAAGGACAGGGAAGTTTTCCTCCATTATCCCCTCAAATAAATTTGCCAACATGTTGTTTTATCTTCTTCCTCAGGAATACCCAGGATCCTTGGGTTTGAATGTTTTATATAATCCCACATTTCTTGGAGACTTTGTTTTACTCTCTTGACTAATTTTTCTTTGTTGTTGTCTGATTGGGTTAATTCAAAAGCCTTGTATTCAGGTTCTAAGATCTTTTCTTCTGCTTACTTTAGTTTACTGTTAAACTTTCCACTGCATTTTATACTTCCCCAAAAAATGCTTCTTTCATTTCTAGAATTTCAGCTTTTTTTTCCCAAGGTGTCTATCTCTTTGAAGAATTTTTTATCCATGTCCTAAAATTTAAAAAAAAAATTATGTTTGTTTTCAATTTCCTCCTGAAATTTTTTTGACCAATTTTATTATCATTCTTTTGAATTCTAAGTCTGGAATTTCAACAGTTTCATTTTGGTTAGGGCTTGTTCTTGAAGATGATGTAGTCTTTTGGGTGTGTTGGAGAACTCTGCTTTTTCATATTGTCAGAATTATTTTTTTGGTCCTTCTCATTTGGGTAGATGATTTTTTCTTATTTGAGGTTGGCAGGGGGCTGATATAGGCACTGTAAGATTCCATTAGTTTACATACATAGCTTTAAGTGGTGAGTTTCTCAACTGTTAGATGTGTCAGTCCTGTGCTTTGTGCCTATACTGGCTCATGGTTTCCGGAGTGGCCAGAGTGGCTTGGAAAGTGTTGTTAGCTGGAGTAGGATCAGGCTTTCCCCAATGCTGAGGTATTATATCTGTTGTGGCTGTCTGTATTGTTGACCTCTGGTCAGGAGGGTGACTATGATGGTGGCTGTAGGATTTCTCCTTAGCAAGTGTTTCTCCAAGAAAGTGCCCAGCCAGCCTATTTCAAGGTTGGGGCTCTGGGAAGTCCCAAGTTTTCTATCTGTTTTGAGCCTTCTGGGACAATGCAAGGGAAAGAAGATGAAGCACTCCACAGGTGGGCACTCTTAGCTGCCCCAGTGGGAATTAGGAGGAAGTCCCAGGCAAGTGGCATAATAACATGTTGTGCAGAACAGGCCAGGAAAACTCCACAAAGGGAGTGAGAGGTTGCTATGGCAGTGAGTCCCACCGGGCTCCTACCTTGGCCTCAGGCAATCTGCAATCTGAAAGTAAAGGTCCAGCCAAGCTCAGGGCTTCAGGTGTTCTCAGGCAACCTTCCAAGTCAGGGGTTGTCATGCAGCTGCAGATTTTGCCCTTGGGGCCTGTTCCCTCCCAAGCTGCCTGAAAAAACATTTTCTCTATTTTGAGGGTTGCCTTTTCACTATGTTCCTAATATCCTAGTTTTTGTTTTGTTTTGTTTTTGCGTTTGGTGTCACATAATAGGAATAATTGCAAAATTCAATGTCATGAATCTTTTCCCTAATATTTCTTTCTGAAAGTTTTTCAGTTTTAGCTCTTAACTTTAGGTCTTTGGTTCATTTTCAGTTAATATTTGTAAAATAAGGGTCCAACTTGAATTAATTATATGTGGATATCCTGTTTCCCAGCACCATTTGTTGAAAAAAATTGTCTCTAACTCATTGAATGATCTTGGTACCCTTGTTGAAAATCATTTGACCGTATGCAAGAGTTTATTGCTGGGTTTTCTATTCTGTTTCATTGGTCTGTATGTCTGTTTTTACACCAATAACAAACTGTTTTGATTATTGTAGCTTTATGTTAAGTTTTAAAATCCATAAATATAAGACTTTAAATTTTGTTTTGCTTTTAAGGTTGTTTTGACTACTTGGAATCCCTTAAGAGTGAGACCCTGTCTGAAAAAACAGTTATTAGGAGGCCATATTTATTTAAGCTTGGATTTAGATGATTTAATGCTGGTATACATTCTTTTTATGGCAATATAAATTATGTATATCAAGACTGCACGTACATTTCTCTTCTGCATGTGTAATAATTTAACACATTCAATACATTTGCTCAGGATTTCTATACTTGCGCTTCAGTGAATATTGATGTGTGCTTTGACAGAAACTGTGCCATGATCTTTAAAAAACATGACCTTTGAAAACCATTATATTGCATCACTGGAAGTTTACTACATACATTAACAATGTACACTCTTGTTATTGCTGAAGCAAATATATATATTTAACTTTGCCAATTTTTTTAATCTGAAATATTATTACCCAAATAAAACATCTATTAAAACTTGAGATTGATTGAGCCCAGGAGTTTGAGACCAGCCTGGGCAACACAGTGAAACCTTGTTGCTACAAAAAAATTTTTAAAAATAGCTGTGTGTGGTGGCACACACCTGTAGTCCCAGCTACTCTGGAAGCTGAGACAGGAGGATCACTTGAGTCCAGGAGGTCGAGGCTACAGTGAGTCGGATTGTGCCACTGCTCTCCATCCAGGCCCTGTCTCAAAAAATAATAAAAATTAAAAATAATAAACTTGAGTAACTCTGTGGAACATGAAATAGAAAATATTTTCTCTGGATAACAATTAAAATATTTCCCAATTTTGAAAAATACAATTTAAAGTAAATGTTATGAAATAATATAGTATGAATCAGATCAAACATTAGCATGCATTATTGAATCATAGTGCTAGAAAAAGAGTTTTCTTTGAAGGTTCATAGTAACCATATCCTACATGTGCTATTAACATATTCTGGGATCCGTGGGCAACCACGTTTGCAGTAGGAAAAGGAGGAACAGGATGGTTAGAGACCACAGCCCAGTTGGAAGTCTTGATCACACCACTTGACATTCATGCCCTTACTTGCAGTGGAAGAGGTTGGTAGAGGCAGTGCTTTCAGACTGAATAGGGTTAAATTAAGATTTATTGAGTGCCTACGTGATCCTGGATACTTTTTCATGTCATCTATTTTTATTGCTCACATTAATGAAGTTGGTTATTATTATACTGTTTTACAAATGAGGAAAGTGGAACTAAAGGAGTTTATTGCTTTACCTAGGATTTCAAAGTGAATCTATGACGGAGTTGATATTTGACCTTGGTGTCTTTTTACCCTTTTTACTTCTGTCATGCATGTATGGTAATATATTTAAGATACACATTATCCTTCTATTAGGGATGATCAAAACAATTAAGTTAGAATAAGTAATTTTTCTAAAATTGCACATTTTAGCAAGTAGTAGAAATAGGAATTGAAATAAGGAGATTATTAGAAATAAAATGCAATTTCATCCCAGATTTTGAACTATCTTTACACATTCAAGTTACTGGTATTATGAACCATCTGAAAAGCACATTTGATTCTACCTGAAGTGTTAACTTCTTGTGGCTTCTGCTATGTAACTTAAAGAATGGCCCAGTGAACATTATGTGATCAGTAAAATTACTTTAGGTCATAGTCTTCGTCAGAACCAGGCTCAGAGTGAAAAGTTAAAACGTCTATTGTATGATTTCACTGGTAATGAAGTATGTAGAATACCTGAGCTCATAGAGATTCAAAGCAAAATGATGGTTGCCCACAACTGGGGAACTGGAAAATGGAGAGGTGTTTAATGGGTATACAGTTGCAGATTTTCAAGATGAAAAAGTTCTGGAGATTGATTGCACAACAATGGGAATATACGTAACACTACTAAACTGTACATTTAAAAAGATGGTAAATTTTATGTGTATTTTACCATAGTTAAAGATAAAAATAATTTTTAAAAAGGAATATTCTTTGAAAATATGTCCTCCATCTAATGTAAACTTATGCAGCATTGTAGAAAAATGTTCCTTATCGTGTTCTGTTTTTACAGTGATCTGCAGCCCTGGATCCTACAACCCTCGTGATGGAATTCACTGCCTTCCGTGCAATAGCAGCCTGGTGTATGGAGCAAGAGCCTGCTTATAGGCCATTATCTTGAGCTGTTTGGTGGTTTATTAAACACAAAAGTGTATTTTTGTAATATTAATATATAATAAATCACTATTATACAAAAATTAAATATATCAGATTCTACAAAATATGGTGTCCTCATTTTTTTTTTTTTTTTTTTT